CTTCATTCCGAAAGCGGAGGCTGGGTGGTGGCAGCAGAACTGGGGACAGGCTGGAGCGAGGACAGGAGAGGGGCCGTGGGGCTGAGCAGGGATGAGGGGCCCGTGGAGAGGATGGTGATAGGAAGGTGAGGCCATTCAGAGCGACGGGATCAGCACTAGATCTGAGCTGGGGTGTGGACATATTGACCTTGCCTGTGACATAACCAGGCAGAGGTGTGCGCCATGCCTGAGACACACAGGTGTGGCTAGCAGTAGCCGTGTGGGTGAGATACATTTGGGGGGTTTGGGTAGTTGGAGCCAGGGGGAAGGGCTGACACCGCCAGGGGCCTGGAGAGAGTTGAGAACAGAATGAAGACCCAGAGAACCGCTATTTGAAGTCGGGTAGAGAGGGTGGTCAGCAGACAGAGCCAGGGGCCAGGAGGGCGGCAGCAAAGCCAGGGTTGGTGGCAGGAGCCGGACTGGCCAGCCTCACTGCCAGGGCAAGGGAGACACGCACGGGCTGTTCGCTGAGCTTAGCAATGTGGAGGTGCTGAGGGTGTGTGGGCAGAATTTCTCTTCCTCATATCAGATGTTAGCGACTTTTAAAAAACTTTATATACTGGTTTTGAGAGAGAAATGTTGGTTTGTTGTTCTGCTTATTTATGCATTCACTGGGCGATTCCTCCGTGTGTCCTGACCAGGGATTGAACCCTGGCCTATCAGGACGATGCTTTAACTCACGTGTCAATCACAATGACAGTTTGACTGTTCAGTAAACCATTCGGCCCGCGATTTAGGCTGGATTTTAGATTTTGGCCCCTTCTCTGATTGAGTTCAACACCCCTACTTTAACTGAATTATCTGGCCAGGGCCTTCGTAGTTTAGCGATTTTAAAGCCTCAGGATTCAACCTAGTAAATTAAAAAACCCAACTGGCATTACTGAGGGATTCTGAGTTGACAGTATCCCATCAGCAAACAGAAGGGAGCTCTGGGAGTCTTTGCCGGTGGACGGAAGGCGAAGAGGATGGGTCATTGCAAGCAAGGCCAGCCTCCGTGGGGAAAGGCAGGGGTCGCATCAGGCAGCTGGCCTCACTAGTGCTGACCAGGAAATGCCAGACTGATGGGCCTAAAACCCCACTCCCTGAGAGGCGGAGCTGAAACTGGGTTCGCTACTAAGTCTTGGTGGAGCTGAACACGAGTGCCCCCTGTTGGATCTGTTTCTTCTTAATGGCTATGGAGGTAAGTGCAGGATTGTTGTTCCAGGGCAAGGATGCCAAAGATCATTCCTCACGAGGTCTGTATGTTTGCAGTTATGAAGCGTGAACAAAAATGTGAATTCCTCTAGAATCTTTTTGTTCAGGTACCCAGATGGTTTGTCCCGTGTCTCACATCTTGGGAAAGATTGTTCCTGTAAGGTTAACAGCACTTTCCCCAGAGTTTATGGGATTAGATTGTTAGTCCAGCAAAGCTCACAGAGCTGAGGCTGACACGTGCAGCCCTCTGTAAATGACAGCTGCTGTCATACTGAGCTAATTAACCTTTCTCACTCACCTCCAGGCTGCTCGGGCCACCTCAGTCTACCCCCTCCCAATAGGGGGCAATGTCAGATCAGAGCTCCATTTCAGACACTTGAAGTTGTCTGCCTTTAGGTGCAGAGGAAAGCTACTCAGCCTAATACTTAAATCTGGTTTGACATTGCATTCACCAGGGAATCAACTCAGGGCATTTAAAAGTCTTCGACAGAATTGTTCATTGTACAGGTATCCTAGTATTTCTTTCTATGATTAAAAGAATCAAAGTACGTCCATCCCAGAAAGTGTAACCCAGAGAGACGTAACCCAAGTACCAGGTATTGCTCAGGAGTGTGAACCTCAAGCAGCGTTTAGCTTCTCCGAACCTTAGTTCCCTCACATGTCACAGGGTCCCTGTACACGTCAACCATGACACCGACGATAAACTGAGCTGTTTGGCTGCGGCCACATGAGCGTCAGGAAGGCTGCATGTTCAGCGCGGCTGGCGGGGCAGCTCCGTGGAGAGTTTGAGCAATGGCAGCATCAGCTTAAACATCCGAGTTCTTCTTTGAGGCATAATCCTTCTCTCTGTACCTGTCAATTGGACTAGACTGGTTATGCTAAGCTGCATAGTGAATTCTAAAATCACCATTTTATACAATAACAGAGCAGCAGGGTTTTATTTTTGTGTAATCGTTATTTAGTGAACATGGTTACATTGTGGATGTTATGTTTTAGTCTCCTCAATAGAAAGGTTTTCTAAGGAAAGGACTTGGAGCCTTCCACACTTATCGGATGCCTTTTCGTTCCTCTGTTCCAGTTTTGCAATTCTGGAGCCGAACTGCATGGCCCGCTTGGGCAGCAGCGCAGAGGCGGTGAGCCCCAGCTCCGCGGCTGCGAGACGCAGGATCAGTTTCTCGCCACTCCCTCGGGGCAGAGTCAAGTTGGCCTTTTCCCAAATGGGCAGGGAATTTAGGAAGGAGACAACATCTTCATCCAGGAAAGGAAATCTAGAATGGAGAAATACAAACGCTATTAAAAAATAAAATCAATCTGTTATAATTACTTCCTTTGCATTTTATTCACTGTATTAAAATCTACAGTATAAAATTTTTGAGGGTACTATTTTTCTTAACTCTAACACACACCCTTCAAAAGGAAAACATTTTACAGACTTTGTTTGGTGGCATTCTCTCTCTATAATGAAAACCTGAAGATGATTAGAATAATGACATAGTGGTTAAAATTTCACGTGTGTCAGAACTGGCACCGTGAGAATGACAAAGGTATAGGCAACCAGAGTTCCGTGAAAGCAGAAAGGAGAGAGACAGACAAGAAGGAAGTCTGAGTGGCCGTGTTAGGATGCTCCAACCCCCCAAGTTTGCTTGTACGCCTGCTCCTGAGTGCTGTGTCCCTGAGTCAACTGCCACGTAGTAAATGAACCACCAGACAAATTTCTCCTTCTTTTCACACCAAATGACACATCATCCCTCGCTGCTGTTTGCTATAAACCCAAGACATTACTGTTGCCACGGCTATGCACTGGACTGGTCTCCAAAGGAAAACAGGGAACCCAAAGCCTCCCTTTACCGCCATTATCGTTACAAAACCCCAGACCCGTTACCTGGCCTCTTTCCCGTGGTCACCAATCACTCTGTCATCACGGCCCAGGTTTCTCGAAGAGATCCGAGCCAACTCCATGGCAATCTCCTTGTTCAGGCCGTCCAGGCCGTGCGTGTGAAAGCGGGCGCGATGGCGAGAGTAGCCGGCGAGCTGCTCGTCCGCGCCGATCCCCGTCAGCACGACCTGTGCCGGTTAGAGACGCACTGAGCCATCACCACGCAGCGTGGAGAGAAGATACATGCAAAGCTTAGAGTTACCACCCCAGCGATCATGTTTTCAGAGAAAAACCACTAGACAAAGATAATAAAATACGCCCAAATTTAAAAAGTCCTATGCATAGCATAGCCTTGTAGTTTAAATGCAACTAAAATACACTTTATTTTTACACCCTAAATGCCAAGGGCTGCGAGGGCAGAGCAGGGCTGAGACACGGAAAAGGGGGTGGGGGCGGAGGTGGGGTGAGGGGAGGAATGCGGCCGCACCTTCGCCTGGCTCCGATAGGGCCTCCTGGCGTCCCCCGGGGCCACGAGGCAGCCGGCGCCCCGGGCGGCGAACCAGACGGCACAGCCGATGCCGTCGTCCAGCACCGTGTCCGCGGGCTGCACCAGGTGGCGGATGCGGGCTCTCCTCAGCTCCTGCAGCTCTTCCAGGGAAACGTCGATTTCCACCAGGTTCCAGGCGCGGCGCGGGCTGGTGGCTCGCAGCTCCGCCAGGCCCGCCCGGGCCGTGGCTCGGTCGGGGGCCCGGGCGCCCTCCCCGGGCCCGGCGGCAGCACCCGGAGGCCCTGCCTCGGACGGCGCTCCGCCCTTTCCCCGCTTCCTCCCTCTGCTGCTGGCACTGGCGGGGGCGGCCTTTGCTTGGGCCACGAAGGCCACGTTCAGCAGGTCAATGGGCTCATCGGAAGGCACGTGGCGGTCAGCCAGGGCCGCGATGACCATGGAGTCCACGCCCCCGGAGAACAGGACGGCGACCTCGGCTTTCCGGCCACGAGGCTGCAGAGCCGCGCGCGGGGGCAGGTCCTCCCGAGGCAGACACAGCACCCGCCGCCTCACCGCGCCGCTCAGGACGGCGAGGAGCCGCCCGGCCACCTCCCGCGTGTGCCCGTCGGCCAGCATTGCCCGCAGCGGGCCCCCGGCGGGCGGGCTGCGGGCACCGCCAGCGCGGGGAGCGGCGGGCGGGGCCGGCGGCAGCGTCGCATTGAGAGGAGCCACGGGCTCTTTCAGACACAGTTGGGCCGCGTTTGCTGCCACGGACACGAACGGTGGCAGGCTGGCTGACGCCTGGGCCAGGCGGTCGTCCCGTTCTCTGGCACCGTCCTCCTTAGAGACGGATCGCCAGGGATACAGGTCTAAAACCACAGACTTGCAGGTGGAAGCAGATTTGAGATCGATTCTGAAAATTCCAGATGCTGGAACTTCTCGCCATGGATCGGCCACTTCCGAGGTGTGGGAGCCGACTGAGGAGAGGCAGCAGCTCGTGCCCAGGTCACTAAAACGCCACAGCAGGCTCCGGCGGCCAAAAAAGTCCCTCCCAAACCACAGGTGATGGTCAGATGCTCGGTAATAAATGAAAGACCACGGTCCCCGGACTTCCGAGAAGAGCGACACGATGCCAGACTCGCTCGGACAGGAGGAAAGACGGTCAAACATGACTTGCGTGTCGTTCTCTCCGGCTTCCACCGGCACGCCGCCGAAGACCTCCCCGTTCCACAGGAACACGTCGCCCCGCTGGCCGCCCAGCGGCTGGGCAGTCAGCCCTCCCCTCAGGTGCAGGACGTGACCCGAGAACAGGCACTGGTAGCCAGCAGCCGCCCTCACCAGCCGCCTGCTGCCATCGGGCCCCCGCCGGGTAAGGCTACACAGCAAATCCTCGGTCAGATCTCTGGGGAAATGTCCAGGAGAAAAGCTGACAGAACAGCAAATGCCACACATGGTGATGTGAAGTCAAGCGGACTATTTCTTGATCTTGGTCTTCTCTGAGTTTTCCATTTCTTGGTATTCTCTTTTCAGCTCATCTAATAGATCTGGGGGGGAGGGGGGGGGAATAGAGAAGAAGAATAAGTAAAATAAATAAATCTAGTAATTCACAAGTGACAATTACCAAGATTAAACTATTGGAGTAGAGTGCAGTGTGTTAGTGCAAATCAACAGCTTACAACAGGCTTCTCACGTTAACCTCTTGGGAAATTAGTTTCTGTACGTTAAATGCTTGTTTTGGCCCAGGCACTGGGATACGCACTTTACATAGACCCGTGGTCGGGAAACCACGGCTCTCGAGCCACACGTGGCTCTTTGGCCCCTTGCGTGTGGCTCTTCCACAAAACGCCACGCGCGGGCACGCACGTACAGTGCAATGGCAACTCCGTGGCCCATGTGCAGATGTCGGTTTTCGGCCTGGGCGAGTCTGTTCTGAAGAAGTGGTGTTAGAACACTCAAGGGGCCAAAGAGCTGCAGGTGGCTCGCGAGCCGCGGTTTGCCGACCCCTGACATAGACCATCTCATTTAAATCCCACCGGACTTTGGAGGCTCCAAGTAATTGATGGGAAGTGACAAAGGTTTTGGAAAGTGGTAGAATAGTTTCCATCTAGATCATCTCAAACTCTAAAGCACATGTCCGTAATCAGGGCTGCCTAACACATCCTTGTATTCCTGCTAGATTTTACCTTTACCATAAACTCATCTTTGGAAGGCTAACCTGAAGAAAACCAACCACTGCTCCGATTGTCGTCCAAGCTTCAGATAAATACTTCAGCATTCAGATGCCGATGGGACATTTCGGGCACTGCCATGAAGTCCTACAGAAAGCCTATATTCTGTGCATTTCCATAGAATATGACAGAAAACTTACTTTTGCTTTCAGAAAGCATTTCGGTTCGATCAGCAAGAAAGAATATGTTGCTGTTCTGTTGCTGCCTGTATACTTTCTGCAAAACACAATATAGGCTGATATTACGATTTGATCTAAAAAGCAACAGATGTTAAAACTCTGAACCCTATCATTACTTATTCTTGAATTTCAGTAACACATTAAGAACAGTACCTTCGCATAATAATAAAGTTACTCACTATCCTGCCATTGCTACCAATAACTCTGAGGTGAAATTCTTTTTTCTCTGCATATACCACAATACCACTTTTAACAAAAACAGGCTCCTATAACTACAAATTTCTAACTTGCTTTTATCAATGAACAACATATTGAGAACATCTTATATGTGTTCTTTCATAAAATTACTGTATGGGTAAAACATATTACAGTTTGTTTAAGGTGTTACCAACTTTTAACTACCGTTTTCCCAAAAATAAGACAGTGACTTATATTAATTTTTTCTCCCAAAGTTGTGCCAGGTCTTATTTTCAGGGGATGTATTATCTTTCCATGTGCTAGAATCCTATTTTCGGAGGATGTCTTATTTTCGGGGAAACACGGTATTATAAATCACCTAGAGTCCCGGTGCACTAAATTCATGCACTGGGAGGGTCCCTTAGCTTGGCCTGCGCCCTCACAGTCTGGGAACTCTCAGGGGATGTCTGACTGACGGCTTAGGCCTGCTCCCCTTTAATACTCACCCTGTTCTTCTTCAGGTTGGAAAGTTCATCCACAACAATCTTTTGTTCTTTAATCTATTGAGATAAAGAAAAACTTCTTAAACCAAAGCCCGCTCACCGGGGGCTCGTTAGAAGTGGAGATGGGACACTGGGCTAACTGTGCTGTCGGCCCAGAGGTCAACGGGTGGGACAGTTTTCAGCGTGTCTGTGGGAGGTGCAGGTGTGGGAATTCGTATCGGTAATGGGCACATGCAAGGCCAGTGTATACACTTTACTTAAAAAAGACAATAAGGCCGAAACCAGTGTGGCTCAGTGGATAGAGTGTCCGCCTGCGGACTGAAAGGTCCCAGGTTGGATTCCGCTCAAGGGCATGTACCTTGGTTGTGGGCACATCCCCTGTGGGGGGGGTGCAGGAGGCAGCTGATTGATGTTTCTCTCTCATCGATGTTTCTAGCTGTCTATCCCTCTCCCTTCCTCTCTGTAAAAATTCAATAAAAAAAATATATATAAAAAAAAACAATATGCACCCGTTTTCAAACAATTTATGTTTTAGCTTTTTAAAATAAAGATTAGCAAATGGAAAGGAAGCGGGCTCCTCTCCCACCCAAATACCAATACTTTTCATGCTTCATGCACAAATGGTGCGGCCGAGCGTTCGGAGCAGCAAGGAGCACTAGATGCCTCACCTGGGCATCTAGTAAGACCTCACGTCTGTCTCTGCTTTAAGGCCAGCACAGCCTGGCAGGCGAAGGAGAAAGGGCCCCACTAAGCGGAAGGAAGGTTTTTCTCTTTAGTAACAGTGGTTACGTTGTGAACGTGACCTCTAAAGCACGCTGACCATCTCTGCCCGACTCATACCCCCGGGTCCCGCCTCACTCCGGGTAAGTGGTCTGCCATGGAGTCCTCAGCGTGGCCTGTGGGGTTTGAAAACCACTCCTCCCAGGAGTATTTCCTCCCGTCTCCCCAGTTCCCAGTCACTACAGTAACAGACTGTATGGGCTTGAATTCCAAGACCCAATTTGTACCACCTTGAGGCCTGTGTTTGAACAAGCTTTCCCATCCTCTCCAGAAATGGCAGGTATACATCTAGTTCTCTTCACTTCAAACGAGGACACTGATACGGGACCAGAGACAACTATCCGTCCAGGACAGAACCAAGAATCCAGGGCATCCCACCCCCGAGGGCCACAGCCGCTGCCGGCTCCAACACACTGGTCAAGGTTCCGGCTGTCCGTGGCAGGTCTGGTGCCATATCGGCTCCCCTCTCCCCGCTTCTGGGAGGAGAGTGACAATCAGCTGTGTTTTGGGATCACTGCTCTGGCTCAAGTAGAGAACAGACCCGACGCCGACCCATGCTTCTCTCCCATCATGGATGTTTCTCTCTCTATCCTGCCCCCTTCCTCTGAAATAACTTTCTTTTTCTTTTTTTAAAAACATATCTTATTGATTTTTTTTTTTTTTTTTTACGGAGAGGAAGGGAGAGGGAGAGCTAGAAACATCGATGAGAGTCATCAATCAGTTACCTCCTGCACACCCGCCCCTCTGGGGATGTGCCCGCAACCCAGGCACATGCCCTTGGCCGGAAGCGAACCCGGACCCTTCCGTCCGCAGGCCGACGCTCCATCCACTGAGCCACACCGGCGAGGGCTGGAATAATTCTCTTAAAGGAGCGAGGCAGGCCATGCCGCCTGCGGGGGCCCTGCGCCCGGCCCCGGCCCCGGCCCTCCCGCCGCCCGCGCTCACCCGGCTGCTGAGGTCCTCTCTGCCGGCGGCCGGGCCCGCGCCGTCCTCGGGCCGTGCCTCCCGGGCGGGCCCCTCCATGGAGCGCACCAGCCGTGAGCGCAGGCCCCCGTCCGCCGTCCGCCGTCCGCCCGCCGCCCGCCGCCCGCCGCCCGCCGCCCGCCGCCCCGGCCCCGCGCGGACACGCCGGCCGGAGTCCCGCCCCTTCCGCCCCGCCCGGGGCCCCGCCCCTTCCGCCCCGCCCGGGGCCCCCGCCCCTTCCGCCCCTGCCGGAGCCGCGCCCCCTCCGCTCCCGCCCGGAGCCCCGCCCACGGCGCCTGCGCGCTCCCTGCGGCGCCTGCGCAGTTCGGGGCCGGCGTGGGCGCGGGCCTGCGCTTGCGCAGTGCTGCTCCGGGCGGGAGCCGGAGCCGGGGCCGGGCGGTGAGGCGGCAGCGGCCCCTGGCGGAGCCGCGAGGAAGCGCTCCGGACCGTCCCCGCCCGGACGGGAGTGCGGGCGCCCGGGCGGCGGGGCGGGCGCGGGGCGGCCGGCGGGGCCGCTGGGAGCGGGGCTGGCGGAGCGGCCCCGCGGCCGCCTTCCTGCTGGTTTGGGTGGAAAAGGGAGCCCCTTCCCTCCGGGGGCGCCCGGCCGGAGGAGCACCTCGGGCGAAGGAGGAGCTTCTAGTGTGGGGCGTCCCGCACCACGTGGGCACCAGTTTCCCAAAGCGGGGCGGCAGGGTGCCGGCTGGTTCTCGGGGCTTTATTTTCTTGCAACGTCTTTTTTTTTTTTTTTTTAGCATTTTGGTGTCAGGACGATGGCTTCATACAGTCAGTTGGGATGTGTTTCTTCGTGTGTGTGTTTCTTCATATATATTTTTAATGGATTTTTCACAGAGAGGAAGGGAGAGGGACAGAGTTAGAAACACCGATGAGAGAGAAACATCGACCAGCTGCCTCTTGCACGCCCTCCACTGGGGATGTGCCCGCAACCAACGTACATGCCCTTCACCGGAATCGAACCGGGGACCCTTCAGTCCGCGGGCCGACGCTCTATCCACTGGGCCGCACGGCCAGGGCCCTCTGTGTTTTGGAGAAGTGTGTGAGTTGATGCGTTTCTTCTGTTACCGTGACACACAGCGTGCCGGCGGCGTCCTCTGTGCCCGCAGTTTCCTTGTCGGAGCCCGTTATTCCCATTTCCTAGCCGAGGGGCCTGTCTGGTCCCCGTCCCCGGTGTGCACGGAGGGAGGCTGGCTCTGGCCTCCCGCCCTGCGCCCCTGAGCACAGGGGCTCCCCCGTGTGTGGTCCCCACAGGTCCTACCCTCTCGGCCGGTTCACATCTAACTTCAAAACATCAGGGGCTGATTAGCCGGGCTTCCCTCCCAGCTTCTGTGCAGCTGTGAAGCCCGTCCCAGGAGGAGGTGTCCCTGACACACACAGGATGAATCTTAAATACGTCTCTATTGATTTGTCTCTATTTATTTCAGAGAGGAAGAGAGAGAGGAGCACGATGAGAGAGAATCATGGATCGGCTGCCCCCTGCACGCCCCCCTACTGGGGATCCAGCCAGCAACCCGGCACATGCCCTTGGCCAGAATCGAACCCGGATCCTTCAGTCTGCCGGCCAGAGCTCAGCGGCTGCGCCACACCAGCCCGGCTGCCTTCCTTTGTATTATGACTTGGCTCGTTGCCCTGTGAACTCAGTTCTGCAAGGAGTGCAGGCCAAGTTGTGATTTTGTAGAGCATCCATTTTTTGTTGTGGATTTCTACAACTTAACAGGAAGCTTGAAGTCTGATCCTATCATTGCTTTTAAAATTTCTGCTTATTTTTAAAAGTATTTTTTACATATTTTTAAGGCTGTGGTACTTTTAATATGTTTTTCTCGATTTCAGAGAGGAAGAGACAGGGAGAAAGAGGGAGAAACATCAATGATGAGAGAGAATTATTGATTGGTTGCCTCTAGCACGCCCCCTTCTGGACATGCATGCTAGAGGCAACCAATCAATAATTCTTTCTCCCTGTCTCTTCCTCTCTGAAATCGAGAAAAACATATTAAAAGTACCACAGCTGAGATCCAAAGTGTAGAATTTCCTTGATTTTCCTGGTCTATCTCTTCTACGAATTAAAAAATAAGCAAAGGTTTAGGTAAATATATCCTACACCGTTTTTAGGTGAATGATATAACATAAATACTTTCCTCCAGTTTGATTTTCTTATCTAATATTATACCATGGAGATCATTGCACAGTAGCGTGCAGCAATATTCTTTATTTCTCTCCAAGTTGCACATCAGGTGTGGTCCCACAGTTTATTCGGTGATCCTTCTGTTTCAGGGATTTGGACTGTTTTCGTTCTTTTGCTTTTACAAGTAGTGCTGCACACACCAATACTCATCATTCCTTCTCTTGTACTTAACTCCTTACCTTTGATCCCTCTTTCTAGGTTCAATACAACATTTATTTACTTATTTATTTATTTATTTAGCATTTACTATGGTTGTGTCTCGTGGTACTCTGCAACCCAGAATCCCACTCATTTCTTCTTGGCGAGTTTGATGTCGAAGCCAGGAGCTCTATTCAGTTCACAGCCCCCTTAGTGTCTACACAATTTCTTCATGGTCCTCAAAGCCACAACAAACAAACAAACAAAAAAACCCACGGGCCACTGATAAAACCACCAAACAGTTCTTTTCAGTAAGAAGTCGGGTCCTAACAACTTAAAAAGTGTTTGTGTTTTAACAATTCAGTAGCATTGGAACACATAAATTGAACTAGAAAGTAACATTTTCATTTTAGTCTTAAACTACAGGCCCGGTGCACGAAATTTGTGCATAGAGGGTAGGATCCCTAGGCCTGGCTGGCGATCAGGGCTGATCGGGGCCTTCTGGCTGCTGGCCGGGGCCTGCCTTTGTTCCGTGCTTCCTCCTGGTGGTCAGCACACTCATAGCAAGCAGTCGACACCCCCCCCCTCTCCCCGTTGATTGAACCCCTGAAGGGACAATTTGCATATTAGCCTTTTGTTATATAGGATGACCACCATTACTCATTGGATGTGTATGCCCATTGGGCACTGCATAACTTCTCAAACCCTGGGACCACGACTCTCATTTCCTGTTCTTCATTAATTTCCATGAGGTACTTGCTTTTTATCCCTCAAACCCAGCTTTGCAAATATATGACATCATCAAAATAAATAAAATTCAAATCAAATGTTGAAACTGCTAATAACTTGACCAGCTAGTTCAAGCCATGTTCTTCGCATGTCACGTAGCACTGTTCCCTTTGCGAATGCAAAGACCCCCACGGTGCTCCATGAGTTCCCTCTGACACCCCAGGCAGCTCCGTGTGCATTGTGGGGATCCACGCCACCCCATCGCACTGCTGTCATCATCACAGACAGTTAAGTGACCTGTGGCCCAGGAATACCTTCACTTCCAGGTTAGCTTTCTTCCCATTTAACAGTCAGTATACTACTTTCTGAGCACACCAGTGTAGTCACACTTTATTTCCCATTTCCTGTTACCATTCTTCTACCATTTCGTTTTTCCAATGACCCGCTGACCTACCACCTTCCTACTTCCTTGCCTATATAATCCTCCTCCATTGGAAAGCAGCAATTTTCCTCATCTCTATTAACAGTTCTCTGCACTCCTACACTCGCATTTAAAATCCTCTAGGTACAGGCGTCTTCAAACTACGGCCCGCGGGCCACATGCGGCCCGCAGAGGAGTCTGATCCGGCCCGCCAGGTTTTTTGGGCAGTGAGCGCAGCCGAGGTGTTACAGTGGGAATTAGTAGTTCATATAGTCCGGCCCTCCAGCTCTCTGAGGGACCGTGATCTGGCCCCCACTTTAAAAAGTTTGAGGACGCCTGCTAGGAAATCTACAATAGTTAGTGCATTGTTTCTTACCACCAGCAGGTGTCACTAAACGCAGAGTTGGGAGGAAATGTGTAGTCACCCTGGAGATGTAAACACCTAAACAATATAATTTGAGAACTTAGCATGTGATGCATTTTTAGCATTCATTAACTTTGTTTTAAAAATGGTTTTTTAAATTATGAGTTTATATGTGACTAGAGGCTGGATGCCTGCCTTCCCCCGGCTTTCCTCTGGCACCTGGGACCCGGGCTGGCTTCCGCCCTGGCCCCGGCTTTGTCAGGAAGGACATCCGGAATGACATCCGGAAGGTGTCTGGCTTAATTAGCACAGTGGTCGGCAAACTGCGGCTCTTTGGCCCCTTGAGTGTGGCTCTTCCACAAAATACGACGGCCTGGGCGAGTCTATTGTGAAGAAGTGGCGTCAGAAGAAGTCTAAGTTTAAAAAATGTAGCTCTCCAAAGGAATTTCAATGGTTGTGCTGTTGCTATTTGGCTCTGTTGACTAATGAGTTTGCCGACCACTGACTTAGCATATTACCCTTTTACTATTATAGATACTTTTCAATAATGGTCATGTTGAACAACCTGCGTATAAAATTCCCGAGAACGTAACAACGTACTTCCTATAGCTAAATTTTCAGTTAGAGAATGAAAGGGTCAAAGGGCATGAGGCATTTTTGGCTCATGTTTATTTTGTCAGGTTGTAGCTGTGTCATAAATCTTACTTTGTCATTGTTACTGCTTTTGCCTTGATTTTTATTTCCATCTTCGGTTGCCCATTGGAGCTTGAAGTCAGCCGCGGTGGGGGGGGTGTACACCACCTACACTGGCAACTAAGACAAATTGGGCTTCTGTCCTCCACACTGCCCCCGTCCCACCGGGGCAGTTGGTAAACATGATTAGCACACTGCTGTTCGGTTTAGGATATCATTTTAAAGTGAAATAAAAAGCTCTGTGGTGGGGAAGGGGGGGCGCGGGAAGGAGAGACAGAGAGAAGGGCCTAGTGATTGGTTGCCTCCTGGGTCGATCCTGCAACAGAGTACGTACGTGCCCTTGCCTGGAATCGAACCTGGGACCCTTTAGTCTGTGAGCGGATGCTCTGTCCACTGAGCCAAACTGGCTAGGGCTGTTTCTGTTTTGTTTGTTCATTTATTTTGGTTTTTAGATTCCACATATAAGGGAAATCGTATAGCATTTGTATGTCCCTGACATTTCATTTAGCATAAAATCTTCCTGGGCCACCCATGTTGTTGCACATGGTAAGATTTCATCCTTTTTTATGGCCTAGTAAAACTCCATTGACT